CATTTAGCTGCTGTGCTTTTTAGAAAAATATCCTATCAGTTTCTACCCATCATGAAAATGGTGCTAATTAAATCTTTAACCTCAGTGTATATTGCCAGAAAACTGTAAATAATCATATTATTACAGTGCAAAGTGCACATGCTTTTCTATAGTGAAACTTTATTGCTGCATTTGATCAGTACTTCTATTAAATTGTTTAATATTTGTGTGTGTCTGTCAATGTTATCTGATCCAGAGGGACAAATATAAATTATTAAAATATTGAGTGAATCTGGTTCAGTAAAGGAACAAAGAGTGCTAAACTATGAACAGCTGTGCCAGATGGAGGTCCCATGTCTCTCTTCTGTTTGATTTGCTCTCTTGCAGCCTTATCACCTGGGTGTTACTGTTGGTGCCCCACTAACAGTGCACCTGCACACAGCAGTGGGGGCAGGCGGGAGCTGGGGGTGCCCTTTTATCTCAATCCTCATCTCTCCTGTTGGGGTAGCACCAACTGAAAGGCTGTGGTCATGGCCCTTACTTCTCTGCCACCACAGGCAGCGGCACCACCTGGGGGGAGAATGAGCCTGTGCTTTAGTGCTGCAGGACCCCTGCGGCACTAAAGCCTATTTATCCGTGTAGAGTCACTTTCTCATCCATACAAACAAAAACAGGAGCACTCTAATGCATGTCAGCACAACATTGGGCTTAATCACACAAGAATATCTTGTACATTAAATAGAAAATAGTGGCATCATTCTCAATAACCTGCTCAGCAGTTCATCTGGAGAGTGAATTCATAATGTCAGATATGTAGATGATCTTCAGAAAGTGCCTTGTCCAATTTAATTATGAGTCATACATAGATAATATACAATGCCAAAGAAATGTACGTTAATGCAGTGTTCTTTTTTTCTGCTCTGAAAGTTTAACATATCCCTGAAAAGGTCTTGTCCTTTCGGCCTTGCTGTGCACCAATTAAATGTGAGGTGACAGGAACAGACATTAAACATGCATAGCTTCAGACTGCGAACGCAAATGTGAACACATTCTTCTTAATGTTTAGAAGTAAAGTAAACCAACATGCGTGCTGGAAAATTTGTACCGATTTTCTGCAGTATGAACTCAAGCCAAATCCTGTCACGCACACTCAGTTTCTCTTTCTAGCGCAAACATTTCATTTAGTTTTCCTTCTTCTCCACTCAACAACACAAATACATATACAGTACAGGCAAACACACGTCCAGGTGCATAACAGCCACAGAAAGTAACACATAAAACTGGTGCCACCTTTGTAATCTATAGCAAAGACAACTGAAGCATTCTAAATAATAATAGTGCTTAAAAAATAGTCACTGCAAAGTCATATCATTAAGAAGGCACTAACACACAAATCTAACCTACATTGAATTAGCTAACACATACTATTTCCCATCACCTCCCAGGTTTCCAGCCCTTGTAAGCCATTTGTTTCTACAGAAAAGCACAGAGACACAGACTGTACCGACATGAAATTAATTACAGTGCTGCATGTTCACCCAGTGGGCTACAAACAGCGAACTGACAATTGTACCCAGCTTACACCTTCCACCCAAACCACACACACACACACACACACACACACACACACACACACACACACACACACACACACACCCTCGCTTTGCCTCCTGCACACACTTTAGTTCTTAGTCATTAAAGGACTGTTAAGACCAACCTAGATTGACTGACCATATCTCTCATGTATAGCTCTCATGTGGGGTAGGTTTAGCCTATAGTGGATAGTCATTTATCCCTGTCTGTCTTTCACATGAAGGAATTGGAGAAAAATCTAAACATCATCTTTAATTTTTTTCTTGTTCCATAAATTCTTAATATCAGTTTCGCCTCAATGTCTACAAATTTGAAGTAGGCCTACTTTCTTGTCTGTTTTCCAGAGCATAGGCCTGGTCACACCAGAGTAGCACAGCGAATTAATCCACAAATGAATCTTCACAAAATATGTGGTTACGGGTTTTAAGGAAGAGTGAAGAAAGCTTTACAACCACCTAAAATGTCTAGTCTACCAGCGTTCTGATGCAAATTGTTGACTTCTCGTTCGCAGCTTGTGGACTACCTTAAAATTTTGAATGCACATAAAATCTTTCAGATTTTTGACAAACTCTGCCCCAGCAACATATATCTAACATATATCCAACTTTGTTAAAGCATAAAAAAAGATACATTTTGAATGTTACAGCTACTTCATCATCATTATCGTCAAAGTCATCATTTTATCATAAGCTTTTGTGGCTGCCAGGTTTCATTGTTTCCACCAGTTGTGCTGTGACATTTTGTCTCTGTCCTCGGGGCCCCTGGCAGAGAGGGTCAGTTACAGCTGCGTCAGGTGACATAAGCAGGGGAGTCAGTGCAATATCATCCTCACCTTCCTGGTAGGACACCACCAACTAGAACATAACAGAATGACAAACAAAGGACAAGTCATCCTGTTTTCTTCTTCTCTTATCTGAAAGGATACATGAAAGAATAATCCATGGATTGTGTGCACCGCAATGTAAATGTTTGACCTCAAGTCACTCCAGGTACATCGACATAGTAATGAAAACTGCCAGCTGAGGACACTTAATTGCATTCAGACAGCCACATGGTGAGATGTGGAAAGACAAAACCATTAAGTCTTTTTCCAGCTTTTCCCATCCTCGTGTTGGATGCTCCACTGGCTCTGCCTGATTTGGAATGGCAGCTTCTCTTACCTGCATGGCAAATCAGTTGTATTCCTTAAGATTAAAATAAGTACAGCATTACACTGCAAATGATTATCTCATTGGCTTTGTTTTGTGTGATCATCAAACGCAATTCAGGAGTGTGACAATCAAATTAGTGGAAATGAGAGCTGACTCGCTGTTCAATTAAAATCAGGCTCCAGTTGTTTCTGAAAGGGTTGCTTGTCAATGTAATTGAATTGTATCACCAGGAAATCATGCATGGAAATGATAATTTTGCAATGTAATTATTTTACCTTCTTCGCAACCAGAGGACGTTGCAAGCAGTACGTTTTATAAGCTTTAGGAATGGAAAGTGGCAGAGTGCTAGCAGCGCCTGCCAAACACAACAATTGTTTGACGCAATCTGTCTCTCAGCTCCACCCACAGCCCGAGCAAACAGCTCTGTCTCACTAAGAGAAAACACAGGCTTCAGCCAGTATGGCTGCACTGAGAGAGAATTCCATCAAAATGAAAGGCCTTATTAGTTGTGTCAAATACTGATATTCCCCATGGCAAAGTGCACAGAATACAGATAGCATTACAGGAGCATATAGCAGGCCATATCAACAGCTCAAGGAAAAAGTGCCCCAGACAATAACTTGAGGGACGGTGTGATGGCAGGCATATGAAAGGCGTCACAGATGACGTCTAATCTGTATTAAAAAACCTGGGCTGGCTGTAATCACCTCTCTGTCACTGTGCTAATGGAATCCAAAGGCAGATAACAGACAAGAGAGAGCAAGGAGGGTCAAAAACTGCAACACACACACACACAATAAAGCAAAAAAAGGGCCTACACAGAAAAACCTCCTGATAATAGCAGGCAGACAAAAACATCACAGCAATTGTGCAGGCAAAGACAGAGCAGGCTGAGAGTGGAGAGAGTGGAGAGCAGAAGGCAACTGTCAAAGACAGGCTAGGGTATACGATTATGTACTCCCCTGTGTTCATAAAAGGGAACTTCAATCAATTGGAAGGAGCTAACACTATTAAATATTGACAATCTTCTCCTCCTGTGTTCCTGCTAACCCTTCCTCCTCCTTGGTTTGGCAATCACAGACATGATGGTGATCATATTTAAACAGCCAGCCCTTCTTTTTTTTTTTGACTAGTTTGTACCATTAATTATGCAGATAATTTCCTATCCACATTAAATGAATTAAATGCTGCTGCTGACATCACCAGTAGCTCACAAGCTAACTCTACAGCATTACAAGACAGTAACACAGGGGCAAACATTCATTCAAAAGTATAATTTAAACCTGGTTAGTGATGCCCTGTTTATAAATTCTTGTTATTTTAATTAGAAAAAGGCGCCTAAAGGGCAAAAATGGCCTTTTTTGTCTCATTGTGTGAGAAGATCTCCTTTTTATTGGCAGTCAGAGGTGATTTTTTTTAAGAGGCACTTGAGCTGCATAAGGTCTCGCCATAATCAGCATGACATATTAAACATAAGCACTTCTACTAATGAAGTCATTAAATAAGCTTAGAGGTCCAGTGTGTAACATTTAGGAGGTTCTATTGGTAGAAATAGAATATAATATTCATAGATATGTTTTCATTAGTGTGTAATCACCTGAAAATAAGAACCGTTGTGTTTTTGTTTCGTTGCCTTCTCTACAGAAGGAGCGGGTCCTCTTGCCATGTTGACCCATAATGTTTCTACTGTAGCCCAAGAATGGACAAACTAAACACTGGCTCTAGACAGGGCCTTTCACATTTAACATGTGTATCGCGGCCTCCATAGGTTCTCCTACACGCTCGGAAGGCTGAGCTGTATTCAAAGGGTTGCAAATTCAAATTTGAAACTTCACCGCTGGATGCCACTAAATCCTAAACACTGTAAATAAAACTAAAAATAACCAGTACACTGTAGAAAACACATGCACAGTATAGACTACAGATATCTTAAACGTCTGACAGCAATTGTAATCAGTAACAAACACATGGACAGGACTGCAACATTTATTGGACACTTTTGGAAAACATACTCATTTGGTTTACTGTTTATTTGCTTTTGAAGGAAAATAAAAGACATTTTAAGAGAAAATACTTTTCCAGCACGGGCCTTTTCTGTATAAGTCATGGTAAAGGGGATCAATAGATTGACCCACAAAGCACAGTTCTCCATCAACATTGTTTACCTGCGAATGAGATACGACAAGCTGAAATATGGTTACCGGCGAGGTAGTCTGCCTTTTTGATTGTGACAGGCTGAGGAGCCAACAGAGGACATGGACCAGGAACTGCCTACTGGGAAGAGACCCAGGAAACACAGCAGTACATCTCCCTGCTAGAACACCTGGATACCAGGAAGCGCTGGAGGAAATTAGCGGGGGAAAAGGACATTTTGGATACTGTGCTTAGATTGATTGATGGATGGATGCAAGGGTGGATTATGTCATGACAAGCTCAGAGTATAAGTACCTTTTCACCTTGAAGTATGAAATGTTTGTTAGTCTCCCTTGTCATTGCTCTTCATGAGCTGCCTTAAAAATGGCTCCCGGGCTGCTGCATCCACAGAGCTCTCACAGACAGAAGCAGAGATGAAGCACAGATGCAGACAATACAATATCTAATGCTTGTGTTTGTTTAGTTTTTCTGTTCACTAAAATCGTACAGCTTTCCGTCACTTTTGTGGCTTATCTGCACTTAATAACTACAGCCAAGCTCAGTGCTCATCACACCCACAGCCAAACACCCCAAATAATGTCCTGAACATCTCACACAAGATTTTCATGAGCCAGACTAGACAATCAGCTCTTGACATGTTTTAGTCTACAGGTTAGACAAGGTTGGGTTATACAACTTCATGTTTGACACCCACAACTGCAGATGGGGAGGTGGGAAATTCACAGGGGGGGAGGAGTTGGAAGGAATTAACAGTGTCTAGGAGGAGGAGAGGAGGAGGAAAAGTGTCATATTGAGCAAACTCTGACATGCTAGTGTCTGAGTATCACAGGGCGTCCCTCATGTCATCCGCCATGTCATACAAAATGGAATACCATTGTTTTGAAGCTAAATCTTATTCTCAACACGTCACCCATTTACCCACACATCCATGTCTGTCAGCATGAGTTGTTATTGGGCTGATATAGCTAGATACACCCTTATACAAAACTGTACTTTGATATATATTCATTTTGCCACCTATTTGCTGTTATTTCAGTGTGAAAGTTGTTACTTTAAAATGCTGTTAGACTGTGTGCAGTGCTTGAGGTATTGTTCACGTTCAAGTTATTGAAATAAAACAAAACACATAAAACTTTGCCTAAATCTCCCCCCCAAAAAAATCCAGACAGGCTAATTCATCCAGATGCCAAATGCTGAGCAGTCATTGATTGTGTGGTAGAGGCAATTACAGGCCACTCAGTGTCAGAGAGACACAGCCACTTTTCAGAACGCCTCCTTTCACTCTGATTTTACGCTTACAGCAGCATATTTATAATTACACATGCTAATCAAGGTGGCAGTTCACAGTAAGCCATTCCATTATGTCAGCATCTCTGAGTGGCAACAGAGAGTCAACAGCCAAATCACTCCTGTACCATTTGGCAGAGATTACAGAGACGACCCCCACCACTCCTCTTTGTCAAATAGTCAACAACAAATCATACACATGCTGTTGATTGAGCAGGTCGACGTTACGCAGAACACGAGAGCTAAACACACTCACAATAGATGTAATATACTGCCATGCTTTTAAGTCTGTGATCAAGGTTAGAGCTTTGTTATGGAAGGTATACTGAAAATAAAAAAGGGGTAGAGCTGCACGTTCAACACTAACAGCAAGACTGCTACGCAATCTGCATGTTGATTATGTATAAAAATAATAATACAGACTATTTAAAAGGAAATGACTTCCTTAATCACTCACATAATATGCATTTAATATTATCTATATCCCACTAAATTAAAGGTTGACACATAAATGGCTTTCAAAGGCTTACTGAAGAACTGTTGCGTATACTTTCATGGATTAAGAAATATTTGACTTTTATTGAGTTTTCCATTCTTTTTTGTGCAAATTGTTAAAGCTCAATGAATGTAATTTACTGTTAGAGCCTCGATTAAAAGAACCATTCTCTGTGAAATAGCATTGTGGCCGTGTCAAAGACTCCTATCAATACAGCCTGGCAAAACTCTACCTCTCTAATTCCAGCATAATAAATTAAAAAAGAGTATAAATTGATATTAATGAAGATCCATACGCACAATTAAGCAACCCTATTTTCAAATAACAAGAATGCCATTACTATGCTCTTCTCAACACCTCCCTTAATATGCCAATCTGAATTCTGATAAGACGGGGAAAAGGTTTGAGTGGAAACAGAACACTCCTCAAAGGTGGGCTATTATACAGGTTAAAAACTCACCTTGATAAGTGTTGTTGCCTGAAGTCAGACTCTTTCATTGACAGAATCTACAGCCACATTAGTAGCTCTGTTCAGCTCCATTTAGGAACATGGGGCTTTGAGCTAAATGCTAACACATTGAGGTTAAGCAGATATAATAATCTACCACTGTCACCATCTTAGTTTAGCGTAAGGTTAGCACCACAATCTCCATTCTCCAGTCATTATCTCCTGGAGGAGCTTCCAATTTTAATATTGTGTATGTGTGTGTGTGTGTGTGTGTGTGTGTGTGTGTGTGTGTGTGTGTGTGTGCGTGTGTGTGTGTGTGTGTGTGTGTGTGTAAATCTGTCCACAGCTAATCTTGCAGACTACTGGACCAATCAGCCTCACATTTTTTGTGCACATTTATGACTGTATGTTTAAGGATCTCTTGTTGTTGCAATGATTTACAATGTTTGAAAAACCTTGAAAAACGTATTTTATTGACTGCTATACTTCATACTGACTGCTGACTCCTCACTCCTCTTAACCAGCCGGCCGGACCAGAAGTGATCAACAACTGCCAGGCTAAAAACAAGGCTTATCATTGCAGGCCAAATTTTGGCTTTTGTCATCGCTCAAAAACTGACACCCATAGCAAACTTTGTTGCCCCTGCAATGCGCCTGCGCTTAAGTCATATGGGGGAGCTCAAGAATGGCTATAGTTTAAAAATACTGATGCATAAATCACTACAACATCGGCTGGTTATAAGCATGAGAAATTGAAAATGATACTGTTTACCTTTTAGAATTAAATTAAGTAACTAGGGGCAGATCTAATCAGATTTATGCCAAAACATTAACCTTCTGAATATTTATAAATAATTAAAATTAAATATTTTAAATAAATAATTCTGTTTGCATTTGGTGCTAGGCTAGTAAGTAACAGAGGGTTTATCAGAGCTCCTTCACTGAAAAAACACCAACGAGGTTGACAAGAGCCGCAAGACAAAAACAAAACATTAAAGCAGTGTGCTGTAAAATGAAAACTCAGCTGAAAGACACTATGCTCCGTGGGACTGTAGGGGGACTGCAAAGTCGGATGACAGTTCTCTGTGGGTTTGTCACTATGATGCGGCATTACATTACATTACAACATTACATCTGTCATTTGACCCATTGTTAACATAAGAATATTGATTTTATATATACATATAAAACTGTATTCCTGTTCCTGAAGTTAAAACTGCACGTTAACACATTTTATGCAGAATATGTCTGAATTGCGTTGAATTATGAATTATTTGCTTAATAAATAGCAGCTCTATTATACTCTGTAAATAATACCTGGTGCAAAATCAGGACCTCCAGCCTCGCCTCCAGCGCTGTAGCATTAATTCCCACAGCTGCTACCTGTCAAATAAGCGGAGCCATCAGTCATTACACGAAGATAAGACTCTTAGTGAAAGAGAGCTGTATGAGAGGAATATCTTTCATCATACTCGTATCGTACAGTGTACAGTGTCTAGCAGCCCATAAAATTTAATCATGATGATCAAGTGGTGTTATTGACCGTAGTTGTTACATTCAGTGTCCGATGGGTTTGGACAGTTGAGAGCCTCTCATGCTGAACTGTTATATATGCTAAGGAATCTTGTGCTCACTCAACTGCCTTTTAATCTTAAAAATAATCAACAGCGTGATTAATTGGAAACCAAATACGGGATCCTATCTGGGACCATCAGTTTCACTGTGCAGTTCACTGATGTATGGTATCGATTGCAACAGGGAGCCCTCTAATCAGAATCATGGTAAAATCAATAGCTGGCATTGCCTGAGGTCCTGTTCATGCTTCAGTGTACACATCTGAAGTAAACTCCCTTGCGCTGAAACAGTCCGGCCATATGCTTAAAGAAAATCAAGAGTCACTGCAGTAGGGAGGACTGTTGCGATAAACTGGAGGAGACAGACAGAGATAAAGGAGGAAAGCACTGAGACAGGTGAAGGAGGAGGGGTTATTCAACGAGGGGGATTCAGTGTGATTTTAAACTTTTCTGCAGGTTTTTCTTACTCAATGCTACAATCCATCAAGCTTCCAGGGTACGGCGGAGGATCAACAAGCCACTGACCTCAGCCTGATCCACAAGTGAGATCCAGCCACCGAGCTGTCCTGTTGTTGTCACATCTCGCTCCTCCTGTGCTCTGACCACTCTGTTCCTGCTCCGTCTCCTGATCTCTCCATCTCCCTCGGGAATTACTTTAGTTGCAGGGCCGCTCTCCTGTGTCTACTCACAGTATTCCCTGTTGGGAAAATAGAGAGGCAGGGTGAAGGCAGATCTAAGCCTATCAGCTTAAAACATGGCTTTAGGTCGCCTGTTACATAACATAACAGTCACAACCCATGAACTTTGACACTGTCCTGAAGACAGCTAAATGAAGTAGACCAAGAAGAGCTCAGAGGAGCTGCAGAAAAGACTCCAGGGCTTCCACCAGCATCTGGTCTGATGCCAGGGTATCTGAGGCAGTCTGCACGCCTGGCATCCTGCCACTTACCAAGGCAACCAAACCTTGCTGCTCACCTACACAGAGAGAGGATAAAAGAGGAGAAACACATTTAGTGGAGCGGGGAATCCAAGAACAATAGGAACAAGATGAAAGAAGAAGAGGGATTTGGAGCAAGGGAACATTGAGCATGGAAGGGGCATTGTTGATTCAACACCCCTATTTATTGCAAGATTCTCTTATATACTAGTGATTTGCTTTGCCAAATGTATTTTGAGGAAACATATTCCCGGATTGTGTTAACTGTCAGCGCTTTATCCAATCCAGGAAGTCAGCCAGAAGTAAGAGGATAAGGGTTGTTAGTGGGCTTACAATGCATGTACAAGTGCAAGTACATGGCACAGGACTTTGACATAAGAGATCAGGATATGTGTACCCTGAACACACTTGCTGTAGGCCACTAAGACACCTGATGACCTTCCTGGCCTATTAACCAGGGCTGGGGGTAAACGATTATTTATTAAACGATTAATCGGGCGATTATTTTATCGATTAGTCGACTAGTCTAACGACTAATTGGACGACGTTAGCCACCAACCCAGTACGAACAAACCGCACGGAGAGCCAAGACAGCCAACCAGCACCACCGAAGTGCGCAGAGCCCAACACACACAACACACCACACATGAAACCAACCCAGCCAACGCCAGCACCCACCTGCCACCGTCTTCTCCGCGGGCGACAACGGGGTCCCTCCGCCCCAGATGCTCCAACATTGCCAAATGGAGTTGGCATACCACAACAGCACAACAGCAAAGAGCGTAAATAACGACACCTTTACGTTTGGGACTAAATTTGAAGTATTCCCATACCTTCGATGATTTAGGGCGAGCTGTTTTTTTAGGACTTTTTCTTTTTTGGGGGCTTTTATTGGGAATTCTGTGAGGAGGTTGCTGTTTCGTCCTCCATTCTGCAATGTTTTGGTCTCCCACGTGTGTGTGTGTGTGTGTGTGTGTGTGTGTGTGTGTGTGTGTGTGTGTGTGTGTGTGTGTGTGTGTGTGTGTCGAGCTGTGGCGAAGCGTCAACGCAAAAATTTGACGTTGACGCGTCGCTACAGGCCTACTATTAACACATCAAACATGGAGCAACATTAGCGTTTAATTAGTTGTGATTCTAGCCCCCAGATGAATGTAAGTCACTCGCTCCGCTATTGTCACTATGGTCGCCAACGTTGTGTGTCTCTTGTTTGGTGCTGGGCAGCTAGTACACATTTGGTTTATCAGAGCTTTTTCATAAAAACAGCTGCCTGCCTTAACAGGGAACCCGGCTAATATGAGATGAGTGAAACATTAAAGTTGCAAGCCCTAAAACCTACACAACAAACTGAAAGATGCTAAAGGGGAGGTGTAGAGTCAGCTCATAATTATTTACTGGCTTTGTCACTACAAGCGATTTCACATATTTTCCATTGTTAATACAAACATTGATTAGTGTAGCTTCAACTAAGTTTAAGATCAATTGCTTCGAGTTCCTTTAATGTTAACAAGTATACAATGAAAGATATCAGTATGTGAACATAAATTTTAGGAGACATGGTTGGGATTTAGATGGAGTGTTACAGTGTAAAAACAATGATTCTGAATATAAAAACTAAATTGTGGTATTACAGATCACCTCTCACCAGATGATAACCACAGCAGTGTAGCGATATTAACCAGAGTGAGGTGGAAGTGCCCCACCGGCACTCAGTACCAATCACCACAAGGGGAGCAATTACCGTAACATTAAATAGTGATAAACACCACTGAACAGTGATCGTCAGAACATCAGAGCTGTCACCGTGCCATCCGTCAAAACCGCGCTTCAGGGTAGCAACAGTCAGGTAGTGATACATTACAAGGGACAGAAACAGGTGCTACCATAGATTCTAATTACTTTGTTCTATCAATTATGTACAAATCCTTGCATGGCCTGGGGTCTGCCACACACCGCTGTGCCTCCTACTCACTCTCTGCACCATCCCAGCTGTGGCTACATATAGCAGTCTGTACTTTTCGACAGTGCTTTGTGTGGATACCTTGCGGTGACTAGAATGGTTTATTTTTCCAAGGCTGAATTCACACGGATGGAACACTTTTTTAAAAAATAAAGAGGAAAGAAAAGCCATTCTGCATATCCCACTGACATCTGAATTCATGCGTTATATCCTCTCTAGTAACAAGAGAGTCTTTTCTCTTCCACTCAGCCCTGTAAGCATCGGTTTAGAGACACAGGTGCTCTGCTGTTTTGTGTTTTCAAGCTGTAACGGTCTTCCAGGCACTTGTGGTTTCTGCCTTTGTTTTGCACACTCCTCAAGTTTTCTCTCAGTCGCTCAGTGCACAAAAACATTATGCTAATGAATTGGTAGACATCTGCTTCCAGCTCAGTTTTTCTCTAGGTGTTTAGGCATGTGTGTCACTCATATAGGGGATGCTTTTACCCACAGTAGGTCAAATCTATAAAACAGAGACATATACAGAGGAAATTCAGACTGTACCTGCTGCTAGAATGTACTCATTATTGTTTTAGAATGATGAGTACATTGTTTCTCCGTTCTTTTACCTTCCCCTCATGAAACAGCATCATAGTGTGATAATGCATTAGTTTAAGTGTACTGTATGAATTAATGACTCACACTCCCGGTACAGCATGTCATTCAGCACTGAAGGAGAGTATTTATGGAGAAGGCAGGCTGCAATTAATAGCCATATTAGTTAAAATATGTACAGGGCTTTTTCAGCTAGGTTTAAAAGCAAACTAACAGTGTGTAAAGGATCAGATCATTTTTGATGCCAAAAATAAGTAAAGCATGAGGGAAAATGAGAAGGAAAAGCACAAGAAAAGTAAGGGAATGGGAGATGCAACAGACACAAAAGTTTTTAGTTAATGCTACAGTAGTAAAGCTGAAAATGTGAATGAATGTACAGTAAACCTCTAGAAAATACATACTATGTTTGATAGGACATACTCTTTCTCATAGAGCAGTGCTTGAATAAATATTTCTGTTTTCACATTAGAAGTGGTTGCCCTTGACTTGTTTTTCTGGATCTGAATGGCAGATCAGAATACTATCATAATTAAAGAAAAGCTTTGATTACTGTAGGTCGCGTAATCAGTTTTGGTAAAATTGTATGAAATAGGAGTCCAAGCCTTGGTGAATAAGCTAGAACAAAATTATTTTATAATTCATAATTATAATTTTTAAGGAATTTCAGATGTTTAAAGCATATTAATAAAAAGTTTAACTAAATTAAATTAAATGGCTGTTTGCATCTACATTGGTTAATACAATAATTCAGATGGTTGAATAGGGGGATTGTTCCAAACATAGCTATTTTAGTTTGTCTCATAAAGTTGGTAAATGTATTTCCACAAAAAAAACAATTAGCTAACAATTAAGTTGGTCTGAAGGACTTAATAGCATAGACAGCAAAAACACTGTTGCTTTCTATGTATTTCTATTCTGTATTCTCTAACCTGCCAACAAAAAAAAATCCCATCAGAGGTGTGTCCTGTTGGATGGAAATAAAAGTTGGACAAATTTAAGAAATTTTTTCATCATGCATTTCCTCCACAATGTAAATCATGTTTCCCACCATGGTTGTTATCTAGACTGTCATGAACATCAGTTTATTACTATTTAGTATATTATTTATTTTTACTGTATTACTTTAAAAAGCCAGTTTTGGATGTGTATTACACAATTTACAATATGAATGTAAAAATTTAATTTCTTAAAAGAGAGCAATGTGTTAAAGCAAATCAGTGTGTCTCATTCTCTTGAACAAATTAGGATTGTTCAACAGACTATAGTCTCACAATACCCTTTTGTATCTTTCTTGGTATAACTGATATCCAGTGATATCATTGAAGTGACTCACTAAATGCATTCAGGCAGCACACCTGCCAGTGAGCAGCAGTCACAGACTGTTAACCTCAAGATATGGAAGTGTTTGTGAGTCAACGAAGCTTCACGAACTCTGTCACCGTCTGCCTTTGTCAGAGTTCAGCTACATAAAGAGTGATTTAGGTTGATCTCAGTGATTGTAAGACTCACACTAAAGTGAGCTCAAGCACTGCATCCTGACCCTGGCCGTGAGGTAAGCAAACAAAAAATTATGTAATTAAGTAATTATGTAAATGTCAAAGGAAGCATTAACAGTTCCAGGGTTTTTTAAACCAACATTGTACTACCGTTAACTAACTTGTAGAGTCTATGTGTTACCATCTTCCTCACTGTAAAACATAGTCAAACATTGAAGTGACTCATACTGTCCACAGCAGGATAAATATTGCTATTAAAGCTAATGAAATTACGTTATATTATATTAAATGATATAACTGAATTGTATAACATTCACTTGATATAATAATGGCACAACTAATGTCCCAGTCTAGCTCAGAATAAAACCAAAAACAGATATATCATTAATTAAATTGGAAAATTACTTCAGTAAATATGTTCGGATTCAAAGGTAAAATCCACAATACTAGTACCTAATGCAAAAGTCCATGCTGTGCCAGTGTCAAAACACTTCATAATGAAACTGACACTGTTTTACCAGAAAATGTAACCCATTTTCCAGGAAAAGCTTGCAGTGCTGTCATCATGTAAGCATTCCCAGAAAGTGTGTGAGTCAAGCAGACGTGTTTGTGTCTCATGCTGCTTTAGTACACTGAGGTTCTGATTCAAAGATACAAAGGTTTTGTTTGTGGTTGAAAATAAAGTGGCACTATGAAGAGGTAATTTTTTTCTTGCTTATTTGTGTATGTAATTATATGTTGTTGCTAATGGTTGACTTAAGGAATCAAAATGCAGAGTTATATTGTGTTGCCAAACATAATCAGCAGCAGCCATACAGCACAAAGTATATAGTAACAGTGGTAGTAAGTTATAGCAGTGTTAGTGTTGGTAGGTATGTCAGTAATGTCGCATGTTTTTTGTCCAATGCATCACCAAAATGTAACATCTTGGCAAAATGAGTCTGAGAAAAGTTTAGATTCTACAATTTTCATTATAAAGACAATTTATTTTATATGAACATAATGATAATAAGTAGCAGCAGTAGTAGTGGTAGTTGTTGTGGTTGTTGTATTAGTAATAGTAAAATTGTATTAAGGTTTGTCATTTCATGTCATTCCCTTGTTATTAGCACTATAACTCCTTCATTATAACATATATGTATGTGATTTATGTCAAAGTATCAGTAGCCATTATAGTCCTTTTAGTCCATTATCTTTAATAATGGAGACTGCCCTTATTTAAATGTTTTGGGGGTTTATGGTGCATATTATGATTACGTGGATTATGGTCCTCCAGGTGTTACTGTAATAAACAGGAAGTAAAAATTTTAAACCCTGAATGAAAACAATCAACAGCTGACTGACATATTGTGTTTGTGTGCTGTTTTGACGCAGGCACCTGCTGGAAAATGACCCTGCAACCATTAACTCCAGTGAACTGTGCAGGCCTCCTACAGCCCGGCTGCTCTCTGCTACAGCTGGATGGTGAAGTTCTTTTGTTTGGCCAGAAAGGATGGCCCAAGCGCTCATGTCCAACAGGGGTATTTGGGGTTCGGGTTAAATCTGGTGAGATGAAATTGAGGGCCATCTCCTTCTCCAATGACTCATGTTATCTTCCTCCATTACGCTGTCCAGCTGTGTGCCGCCTCGACCCCTATGATGGGCTTCCAGAGAGTTATCTCATCCACGGGGGCCGCACCCCAAATAATGAGATCTCATCGAGTCTGTATCTGCTGACCATGGATAGCCGTGGCTGCAATCGTAAACTGACTTTGTGCTGCAAAGAGAAAGAACTGGTGGGAGAACTGCCGGGCGCCAGATACGGCCACACAATGAGCATGGTCCAAAGCCGAGGGAAGACAGCTTGTGTATTGTTTGGGGGTAGATCCTACATGCCTGCAGGAGAGCGGACCACAGAGACCTGGAACAGTGTCGTCGACTGTCCTCCTCAGGTGTTCCTGTTTGACTTGGAGTTTGGTTGCTCCTCTGCTCACACTATACCTGAACTCAGCGATGGACAGTCTTTCCATTTGGCCTTTGCCAGAGAAAACTGCGTCTACTTCCTTGGGGGTCACTCGCTCACCTCTGACTCCCGCCCCCCTCGACTCTTTTGCCTGCGCATTGAGCTTCTGCAGGGCAGCCCCTTGCTTTCTTGTGAGACTCTGGACACTGGCATATCCATCTCTAGTGCTATAATCACCCGTACAGGTCCTTCTCACAGATATATCATCTTAGGTGGGTATCAATCAGACTCTCAGAAGAGGATGGAGTGCAGCACTGTGATTCTGGATGAGAAAGGAATCCACTTTGAGCCCTTGGAACCACCAAATTGGATCCCAGATATCATCCACAGTCGTACTTGGTTTGGCGGCAGTGCTGGAGAGGGAAGCGTCCTACTTGGCGTACCCACAGAGGGAAGGCCATGCCAACAAGATATGCATTACTTTTATCTGGTGAGCTTCCAGACGCAGGGAGAAGGCCAAGAGGAAGAAGGAACCCAGGGCTGCAGCCAGGAGTCAACAGATTACGATGACTCCACTCCTCTTGAAGACTCTGAGGAGCTCTACTTCGGTCGTGAGCCACATGAGCTGGAGGACAGCAGTGATGGAGAAGGGGATACTTACAATGAGGACGATGAAGAGGATGAATCACGAACAGGCTACTGGATCAAATGCTGCCTGGGCTGTCAGTTGGACCCCAACAAGTGGGAGCCATTCTACTCCACTGAGCTCCACCGACCAGCCATGATCTTCTGCTCCAGGGGGGAGGGTGGGCACTGGGTCCATGCCCAGTGTATGGAGCTGTCTGAGACCCTGCTGCTAAGGCTCTCTCAGGGCAACAAAAAGTACTTCTGCCTGGACCACGGAGGCTTGCCTTACCAGGAGATGACCCCACCTCGACAGATCATCCCTCTGAAGCGTACCCCCATGAAAGTTAAGGACAGGAAAACTTCTCCGATAATCAAGATGTCCCCTGCCAAAAAAAACTTTTTCAGAAGGCTTTTTGACTGAATCCTGTTTTAGCTATGGCGTGTGTAGATGGTCACTTTTAATAATGTCATGAGGAGGTGTCTTGTTTGATATTAAGTAAATATATGATGATGATGATGATGAATACACAATATGTGAATATTGTGTAATATTGTGATATTTCATGTCTAAAAGACTTATATTTTCAATACAATTTTACATTATTTATAGAACATACCTTTTTAGTCTGCCTACAGTGTTTCTAGTTTGTGTTCTTAACTGTACAACAGTCCATTTCTAATTTCGTATTCCATTAAGTGACTTTACTAACCTACCTAACATTTTCTTCCATGGTCAATAGAGCTTCAATCTTTTTACAGTACTTTCTACAATTAAATGTATAATAAATTGAATGAAAAATACCAAGCATACTGATATGATCTGACATTTGTGATGACAATAAACAATAAACAGCCTCAAATTAACAAAAATGTCTTCCTGTTTATTTCTAATGTGTTGTCACAAACAAACAAAATGTGACAACAAATCTTTTTCTATTTCTGATTTTAGTTTGTACTTTTATCAGTTATCTATGTCAATTTGAAGTTGTTGTTTTTTTATTCCATCAGGACCATAATGAAAGTGAAGCATTAAATGAAGACTTTCTAATATTAGCTTCCGGGGCCAAATGTTCATAAATTGTTTTTAAAATGAATACATCATAATTGAATTATACCTAATATATTATAAATAATAATATAACATAAATAAATCTTGAAGCTTTAGCATATCTCTCTGCTACATTTCTACTTTGCATTTTCATTAGCTGTGTAACATTTCATTGTTATTTTGTATTCCAGGACCACAGTGAAAATAGGCAGTTATGAGTGCAGTCTTCCAGGACCAAATGTACCTGAATTTGGTGCTATTAATGCATATTAACAAGCAAAATCAAATATAACCTTTTCAATAAAAACAAACCAGAAGCTCAAATCAAATTTTAACTGTATTTATTTTTGAGGAAACAAGGACAAACTAGTACAAATGCCATCCACCATAACTCATCAAAAGGTAAGCAAGTTAGCTGTTTCTGTGAAAATAAAGCAGAAATATTTGAATACTGTATAGCATCTAAAAACAAATCTGTAACCCCAGTAAACAGTTTACCTGATATTTAGTGTAATATGGAAACAAAAAAGAGGAAATACATAGTGAACACTGAACAAGTACATTTCAGTGAATCATCCATCATCCATTATTTTGGAAAGGGGAATTCATAATGGCAAAAAAAGCTGCTGCAATATAATGCACTCTAAAACATGATATTATTGTAGGGCTGTGACAACTATGGAATGAAATGTGAATATTTTACAGCTATCATGTGGTTAAACATATGACAGTAAAATAAAATCAAACATTCAATGAATGAGAAAACAACATTGCCTGTCACAATTCAAAATTGTAAGGGCAGAAACAGAAAATATAATCAATCAATCAATCAAACAAATAAACTTGTCAACAAATCAGTTTATATCAGGTCTTTCTAGCTTCCGCTCATCCCTCTCCTCTGTCAACCACGGCAATGGAGAAATATCAGCAGAGAAAAAGTGCCAGGTTATATACAGAACTTAAGAAAAATCCCTGCCTGTTGGAGAGTCCATGGGGTATTAGGCTTCGTAATGGACCATACTGTATTTTTATGATATCAACAAAAAGGTCAGTATATGCTTTATTTTATGTGAAGGATTCGAATAAGTATCATCTATTCTCCACTGTGCAAAAACTAAAAGAGATAAAAATTGGTTCAAAGTGACCTGGCATCTATTCTGCCCCTCAGGGATCCTAAGATAAAGCACTAAAGTAATCTTTTTCAGAGGGCACTCATGAAACAAAGAACATTTGGGTCTCTGTGATTGCATTTTGCTCCAGCTCAAATGATATATTAATACAGTGGCCACAAATGTGGTCTTTTTAACACAATTTCCCTCCATGACTTACAGCGCTTTCATCTGTTTCCATAAATATCCTCTCTATATAAATTCATAAATGTGTCATATCCTTGCAATACAATAAACTGCTCCATATTTCACAGACGGTAAAGATTTTAAAAAAGAGTAAGCTGCTAGAGTAAGAGAAAAGAAACCTGTGTTTCTTATATTCCTCTGCTGTCCCACCTGTACACTGTAGGAACTAACAGCTATGAAAGCAGGGTAAAGTGAATGTATATGTGAAGAGTCTTTAAACAACAAGGCAGTACAGTACAAGAACAGGTAAACAAGAAAAAACGGTAAAAAGCGAGAATTATTTTCCATTATTTTATTATTTTCCATAACATTTTCAAAATTACTCAAGTGCAAGAAACTGGTTATTCAATCAAAAAGTATTTTGTAAAATCCAACAATAGAGGGTCTTGTTTATGTTGTTTTATTTGCAAATATACTTTAACCACAACAAAATAATGAAAAATCATGGATAAATCTAAATTTGTGGGTATAGAAAGCATATTAAGAATTTGTAAAGAAGCCCATATTACTGATAAAGGCAATTAAAACATTATACACCTATCTTGTAATCAATAAAATGTGAAGACTTCACATGAAATGACAAATCAAAAATCAACAACTTCCAGAGACATGTCCTCATCTTCCAGGCTCTCTACTGGGTCAATGCTAGCTTGCAGAGCTTTGGCAGAGTCTTTGTGAGCTTCCATAAACTTCTGCAAGTACTTGGAGGTGTAGAGCCAGTGATGTTTCAACACGTCCTCTAGCTCAAAGACCTTTGACTGACGAGCATTCATCTTCCGGAAACGCCTGAACAGTTTGTTTGCCGACTCGTTCCCCTCGCTGGCCCATGCTCCTATGGATCCATCTCTCTCTATGATTTCAGGCACATGGGCCAGGGTCTTGTGCAGGTAATTGGTTATCTTTCCATTGTACCTATATTTGAAAGTAGAGGAGAGGAGGTCAGCGAAGCGCTGGGAGTTGAAGCTATAGCGGAGCAGCTGGTCGGGGCACTCCTTGGCTGGGCAGGTGGCACGCCACACAGGTTTCATCTGTAGGTAGAGCCTTATAAGCTCCCTCAGGGCCTCCCTCCTCTCCTCTGAGGGCACCAGCTCACACACCACCTCTGCAGCCTCCAGGGTCATTAGCCTGCGGGCATAGTTCCCATTCATCCTCATTACTGGTTTAAGCTTCATCTTCTTCCTCAGTTGTTTATCTAGGGCTGCCCTCCAGCTGCGCCGTTCCTCCCGGCTGGGGTTGACCTTTTTGAACACCTCCCCGATCTCATCCTGGAAGATTTTGTAGAACTCAGTGGCATTGCCTATGTCACAGTGTAATGCATCCAGGGTGGGATGGGTCTCCATGAAGGGCTTGGCTGAGACCCCTTTGACTCTGTCTCGCAGCTCATCCACAGACTCAGAAAAGGGGTTGGTTCTCCAAATTTCATAACGTTCTAGGTTCTCTTCATGATTGCGGGTGATGGAGTGTAGAACCATGTTTTGAGATGCCTCTGCCCGACTGGAGTCACAAAGAGTGCAGATATGGGTGGACCCTGATGCCTCAAGGCCCTCCATCTCACGCACCATCTTTTCATCATATCCCGTGCCTCTGAAGTGGAAACGGAAGGAGCGAGGTAGTCCACCCATGGATAGGATAAGCCTGCTCTCTTTCATGGAATTACGCTCTGCAACTATAGGCCACAGGACGGATGTGAGTGTCTCATGGTCTGACTCATCCACAAACATCAGGCAAAGGGGCTTACAGGACAGTTCTGAGTTTGGCTTTGGCTCCGTGAAGATGGTAACCTCTTCCTCGTCATCGTCTGCCAGGACAGAGACAGACATAACAGTGAAAGAGAAACGTACAGCCTTTTCAGGAACAACTGGTCCTCCACCATGCTTCTCGCTGACATCTCCCATGCCATCACAAGATTCCTTGATCATGACACTGAAGCCTGAGGTGCAAGCACTGTCTTCCATCCCACTCTCTCTCAGCCCCTCCATGATGTCCTCCTCCAGATCCTTTAATGCTGACACCAGTGCCACATCATAGCGAAACCGCCGAGTGATGGTGTCAGCTGGGGACTCATCCACTGAGGAAGCCCATCCAGAGAGCCCATTAATAATGCCAACATTGCAAGATGTAGACACATTCTTGAGAGCTGGCTGCCATTCAAACTGGTGAAAGCCAGGGAGAAGCTCCTTCTCTGCAGCTCTCAGGGTGTGCAGGGGCTGAAAAATCTGGCGGCCACTGGTGGCTTTGACAGTCCGGTACATCTTGTGATATTGGCTGCAGCTCAGGAAAGTGTTCACCCGAATGGCCAAGCACACAGCAGGACGCAGCCCAAAGCCTCTGCCTGCAGAGAGAGAAAGAGAGAGAGAGAGAGAGAGAAAATGTGAAGAACATTTAGGGAGACAGAAAGAGGCAAAATTAAAAAAAAAAAAAGTAAAGTGAGAAGAAAAGCTTGAAGAGAATTATTTAACACCAAACTGTGGAAGCCCATTTCTAGTACTTTGAAAAGAACTGCAGTATCGAACATTTCCTCATTTGATATCCTGCATTTAAAGTCATTTATACATGAGACAGAGAGAATCACAAATTTAACACCCAAATGTGAATGTATCATTGTCAAAAGCCCACAAGCCCATGATTACAAAATCCAATATTTCCTAATTTCCAAATGTTATAAGGGGACAGAGGGTGAATCAGTGAAGCTGGCAAAAGTGATGTATTGGCTGCAGATGAAAACAGACACCAGCTGGCTTCTATTCCCCAGAGAAGAGGATGGTGCTGTCTGTGTAATTTGCAGATACAAGAGCTGCTGATGTTGTTTTGATTCTAACAGCCCCTTCACAAGAGTTGTTATTGTGCATTAAGGGGAGTGTGAGACTGAGGGACTGACAGACAAGCAGAATGAAAGTGAGGGTGGGAGAGAATCAGAAAGGGGTTGAGTGTGTAACAGCGGTGGTTCAATTAACAGAGATGGACAATAATGAAATGCTTTTCAATCAAAAAGAAAACTTTCTTCTCTCTCCTAAATAGTGAACTTTTCAATTCAGTTATTTATGAGACGACTGTATTCAACAGAGGTAGGCAGAAATATTAATGAGAAAACACTATCATAATTTTCATTTGTTTGTGTCCCTCTTTCTTGTCTATGGAGGTTAATGGTGATTCAAACCCTGCATTCAGAATTGTGCAAAAGTATTCTCAGGGTACAAATTAAAAACCCATACTCTGCATGCAGGGCTAAATTAGGCCAATATCCTTTATTTCTGAATATGCAATTTCTGGAGCCATATGAAAAAAAGTTTCCCTGCCTGTTACCATTATAAAGCCCTCGCCTACCAAAAGTTGCTCATAAAAAGGAGTCCCCTCAGCCAATTGGTCCTGAGGCTGTCTGACCTTTCACCTTCTGACACCACACAAAACCATCCAGCCACAGAGCAGTTACACTATCACTCAGAAGATCTAACCAAATTATAGCTAAAGAAAAAGAAAAATGCATTGCTTATTGGAATGATATTACACGGTCACGATATAAGCTGGAAACATATTAGGCCCTAAACATACACTACAGTGTGGCAGACTAACCACAGTAACTGATAACAACCTGAGAGAGACATTAAGAATGTACAGAGTGACCATAGAGAGAGGCTGACATAGGCAGACAGGCTGTGCTGTCACTGTGATGAGGGGGCTGTAGAGACAGAATTAGACTTTCTAACAGAATGTCCAATATATATAAATTGGGGAGGAATTCTTTCCCAAAAAAAAAAAATTGCCCTGAATTCTGAAGTCTGACAGAAAGGGAAAAATGACCCCTCGTTCTGAGGGAAAAGAAAGACTGTGCCGTGTTGGCTGCCAAATATGTCACATCCTGCCATAAACTCATAGACATAGATATATATATAGACACACATTTATAAATACACATTATATTATACACTACACCCTCTCTATTTGTTTGTTAGTTAAATTTTTTCTTCTCTTGTCACACTGAAATGTTACTAATAATGACTTGATTTGATTAAAACTTGATGGCTTATGTACTTGAGATATATATGTATTATTTCGTCATCTATTTTATTTTGTTACTATTTCTCTTCACATTGTTTTTGTTAATCACATTCTTTAACAGTGTCAAGATCGTAGCTGAGCTTTGGCAGCTCATGTCAAAAGTCGTGCTAAAGCCTACTGAATTGAACAGAATTAAATTGATTGAACAAAAGCCTTATAATAGCGTCTTACCTTGCATCATGGCCTCTAGTTCATCTGCCTGCCGGTGTTCATTCGCAGATCTCAGCGCAAGCAGGAACAGAGTCTGACACACAGACTTCAGGTCGCCACCTTCCTCTTTGTCTGCAAACACCTTCACCTGGTTCTTCAGATCCCTCAGCCGATGCTTCTGGGCACGACGTGTTAGGGATAGCAAATGCTGACGGGGTCTTCCCCCTTTATTGGTTAGCAGGTAGCTGTCAAGTTCTGATGACTGCTTGTTTGCATCCTGTTCATCCAGGTCATGGTCTGCACTGTGAGCTTTAAATAAATCTAGCCTTACCTGCTTGCCACAGCCAGTTTTGGGGCAGAGCAGAGGCAGGGATTGTAGGGCTGATAAGAAGGCTTTGGCAGGCGAGGTGAGATTATCAGGGGTACAGCGCAAGTTGCAGGCCGGGCAGTGCGGTCCCAGAACGTAGTTATATTTTATAATACAGCTGCGGCAGAATAGGTGCCCACAGGGGGACTGGACTGGATCAGAGAGCAGGTGGTCACACACTAGGCAGGTGAAAGAAAAGAGGAAATCTACAGGGAGCTTCTCAGAAATCTGCTTGACACTCAGGTGGTCTTTCTGGCAGTGGGTGATGTTCTTCACCCACTGCTCTCTCTGGGTGCTGGGTTTCCTCCAGGCCCTGAGCACAGGACCATGATGACGGTCTCCAAATGGTCTCAGAACCCTCCTCTCACCAACTGAAATGCTGTCGCCATGGTCCCATCTGATCCTTTTTGCCAGGCTCTGGGCTCTTGGAATAGCTTTCCTCCTCTTCCTCCCAGTCCGCTGGAATGAAGGTTTTCTGGGGTAGCAAAGGTGGCAGAGGGAAGAGTGGGGTCTCCACTCAGGGACTCTTGTTTTGGAGAAGCTGCAGACGCCCCCTCCTCGTATGGCAGCCATCCAGCAGCGATGGCAGAAGGAAAGGGGGTGGACAGATTCGGTGTCCTCTGTCACATCCACTTTAAAGACTTTTAGGATGACCTCTGCCCAGCGTGCAAACTTGCAACCCATTTTACGCAGGGCACCTTTGCTTACTTCATCCAGATCCCCGTGAACATCGTGCACTGGTCCTTTGACTTTTCTCAAGGCCATTCCACAGAGACGGCAGAAGCACCTTTATAAATGAAAATCAATGTTGTCAAAATCTAAGAAAGAAATACATATAATAATGTAGTTTATATAGTATAGTGACATTTGATCACCTGAGATGGTTCATATGGGTGTCCATTTCCTGTAGCTTCACATCTACCCTCCGGCTCGGGCTCCCCACATTTTCCTTGCTTTTTCCCCCTAGGCACAATTTCATAACACTCCCTGGACTAGCACCATTATCTAACTCTCTATTAGGAGCTGCAGGAGGTGAGATCCCTAACAAGGCTCCTTTCTCAGGCTGTGTCTCACTGGGCAGTGGTGCCTTCTCCATGGACTTCACCCTAAACAGTTTAAACTTCCACTGAGAGAACTTAGAGTGGGGATGATAGAGCTCAGCCGGCATGGAGGATCTGGGGTTATCTGTCTCCAGGCTCTCCTCTGCCATAATGCAACTTAGACCTTACACCCTGGAGAAGAGAGGAGAGGAGAGGAGAGGAGAGGAGAGGAGAGGAGAGGAGAGGAGAGGAGAGGAGAATAGAGGAGAGAGGAGAGGAGAGCTTAGTTTGATGTATCACAAAAGTATGAAAATAATTTCATCTGTCCATGAGAGACCAGTTAATGGATACAGAGAAAAGATTTGAAGGTTCAAATGCTCAGACATCCCTAGTGTCTTCTCAGCGTTGAGCCCATGACACAATCTAACAGCTTTACTTGATTCCTGTTGAATTTATACACCAAGTATCCTGAAATCCCACTGAGGAGAGTGTAGTGAGCCCCGACCTAGAACGCTGTATTATACCATAAGTGGCATTTAGATCTTGTGTAAAATGCATGAGACAAGCATTGGGGGATCGATACAGCAGCAAAATCTTCATTTCTCTCATCTCCAATCCCATCGCTCAGGGGAGTCATTGTGACTTCTTTCCTTTGACACAGCGAGTTTGCTAAATGGGCAACCTTATCCCTGCAAGGCTGTCAATCATTTATATTAGTCATTTTCTTGGCTGGAGAGAGAATTGGAGCCCCGGGAGCCTCCAACTGGCATTTTAAATGCAGGGGGAAAATCGGAGACACAGGAAACTTATTTCATAATACATAGATATTGACCAAACAAGAGGGGAAAGAAAACCAGAAAACATCATATTGAATAAAGATCATAAAGAATTATTCCAAACACAACATTGTTCAATTTAGGAGTCGTATTTCAACAGCCAACCGCTCTGATGGTATGGCACAGGTAAGATCAATGATACAGCTGCATTGATAGACCTTATTTCATCTTCTCCCAGACTATCTAGGTTCCATTACCAGTTCAGACAATAAAGCAATCAGGCAATCTTACCATTGCACACCTATAGTGCACACACTCTAGCATCTTCCAAGTATCCATCTTTCAGTGTTATCGCTACGCTCCTTTCTCCCTGGGAGGCTTGAATCTGCCAGTTTTTTTCATTTCCTTGCTCTCCGTGTTCTTGACATGCTGAACTCTCCTTTGAGACAAACAGCTGAGCCTGTGTGCATGTGTGTCAGCTGGGCTCCTACCTTGTTTTTCAGTCTCAGCTGGCGTCAGCTCCCCTGGGGGTCCTCTTCGCATGGGAGCACAAGGGAAGCCCTGGAGCCAGGCCCTACACTCTACATATACTGTATATGTTTGAGTCTGTCACAGCTTGGAGCATCTGTTGGCAGGAGTTGTGGCTCCATACAGTGGGATTACTCCTGTCTGTCTCCTTGTGTCTTGTATTTATACCCTTCCTTTGGTGGGATCCCAACAGTCAACTCCTGACACCTGATACAGGCAGCTGATTTGAAAAAAAAAACAAGGTCAACCCCAAAGCACAGTTGCAAACATGTGTGTACAGAATCCAACAGAATACCCCAAACAAGCAACTTTCTACCACACCACACTGATCCTCAGCTGGAAACACTTATGTGTCACTTTTATCTCCCCTTTTTCATATCCATCTGCTGGCTCACCTCATCCAGGTGGCCCATCTCTGCCAGAAAGACAGATACTGTTAAACTTATGAAAGGGCTACTAGTGCAGACACACAAGAGATCATGGAATTAATGCATTTTCCTGTCCCACAGAAGTCTGCCTAACATTATATTATACATATTAAGAGATTTAGAATTTGCCTAAAACCAAACTTTTAAACACAGATATAACAAATACATGGATGAATTTAGGAGTTGATTACAAGTCAACTTGTTAATGCTGTTGACTATTTTCGGTCATTTGTGACTGTCAGACGTGTTCAGGTGTTCCAAAGGTCTCTAACGAGGACACATTTTGTGGAGGGTGTTACTGTTTGTGTCTTTTATTCATGTTTTCTTACATTAGTGTGATCTATTAAAACATAGAAGGTGGCATTATGTTAACATCTTAAATAGACACGATGTCTGCAGATGATACAGGCATCAAGACAGAACTATTACATTCATATATGTGATATCAAAGAAAGATAAAATGAGTTGTTGACAGGAGCACTAATTATATGTTATGTGTGTGTGGAGGCAGCAGTTTTTATGTGTAAGGGTAAGAATAGGGCGATATATGAGCTAGACAGAATAAAACTAAATCATCATATCAAAAAGGCAGAAATCAATAAACAAAAATAGAAAATAATGGTAACTCTAACAATAATAATGACAAAACAACCTTCTTATTACTGACATGATAATTACTGTATCAGTGAGACTTTTCCCTTGCCACTTCATCATCTTTCAGTGTTTGTGAGTAATGCTCCAGGAATTCAGGTGGTGACTGCTGTGAATCAAAATGACAAAGGCAGCGATGCAAGTGAGTCATATTAGGTTGAATACCAATTAGCTGCTGGAGTCTCAGTGTTCATCTGGCAATTACCATTTTAAGAAGTGAGAAGCAAAGCAACATAAGAAAACCGACAGGGGTGCGTAGTGGCATGTACCACCTTATTATGTAATAACTCTACAAAATGTAATACATTTTCACTTCATTATGCAATAATGCTCACATTTTGTAATAAAAACCGAGAGGAACTCCCACATTTGGTAATAAATTATTACATATTGTGGTGGCTATTACAAAATGTGGGAGTTGCACTTTTTTATGAACTGCATTTTGAATAAACTGAAACTTTTTGATGGTGTCTTGATGAAAATAAAAGAGAGAAGACATCCAGTAAAAGACGAAGATATCCATTTTGGTTGGTTATTACATAATGCACAACGCAGTATTAGGTTTTCATCATAGAGAAGAACAATAACTGTAATTGTAATAACAACCACAATATGTAATAATTTATTGCAAAACACAGGGAAATGTATTATATATTGAGTTCATGTTGTTTATTACAAAATGTGGCAGATTATTACGAAATGTGGGTTTTATTACGTGAAAATGTATCACATTTTGTTGAGTTATTACATAATGCAGTGTTGAATTGTTTAGGTATGGGTCAAACAAGCCAGAAAATATCTGTAAATATATGTTCTTTTTTATTCCAAGGTAACTACATTGTGTTGCAGGTATTGTGTGACTGTTTGCCCCTTGTGGTTTTTATCTCCAGTTCTTCACTCTACAGTGTCAGCACATTTCATTCATTTCTCCAAATGCTGTCTCTGTCACTATTCAGAATTACTTTTAATTAGACAGCATCATTTGATGTAATGTCTTAGTAGGTGTGGGGAGTATTTGCCCAAGACCATTCTTGTTTGTAATTATCCAGGGGATTAATCTGGTGTATTCGCCACAGGAGCCTGTTGCTGTTGCGTTGGATTTGCCAGCCAAGTCATTAGATACACAGTCAGTGGGCACCAAACAACAGTTGGGTCTCTCCCACTCTCGTCAACTTAACAGGGGAGCAGGATGAATACTGGCAGGCATTGCAGCTTATATTTGGTGCATATGGTCAAGTGTGACCTTATACAGCAACAGTAAGGTTTTTGTGTTTGTTTTGTTTGTTTGTTGAGACAAGCATACATATTCACAAGAAATGCTGAAGAGCAAATAGTGACAAAAAACTGTTCTTTTCCAGGCCTATTCAAATCCATCAGACACAGCTGGGAGATTTGAAGTACACAATGCTTGATACATTACATATCCAAGAACAAGCAAATGATGGATTGTAGCAAGATGTTCCAAGCTTATTTATAGTTGATATTTAGATTTATGATAGCCAGCCAGCCACATGTTTCCAAGGTAAACGACACACCTAGCTCCGTGGCAGACAGGGACGGAGCTGCAGATGTCTGCCTGACAAACAAGCAGTGACCCCCTGAGACCCTCATCTCTCAGCGCCTGCTAATTGACTTGTTATTGATCAACTCAAAGACAGTCTGATTTATGTGGAAGAGGACTTGTGCAGACAGCCACCTGGCATGGAGCGGGGATGTTATGAATGTGAGGAGCAGATCCTGGGGGACTAGAGGCTGCAGTTTAGGAGGACATACAGGAGTTTGCAATGCACCAGTGAACTGACACCTTGCACTGGGAGGGGGTGTTTTTTTCTAATATGATAAATCCAAACAACATCAGCGAGCAGTGTATGTGTGTGTGTGTGTGTGTGTGTGTGTGTGTGTGTGTGTGTGTGTGTGTGTGTGTGTGTGTGTGTGTGTGTGTGTGTGTGAGCGCATTGCAGGTGTGTGCAGTATGGATTGGGAATATGGCAGAGGCAGTACATGTGTTTGAGGAAAGGGGAGAGGGAGAGAAAAGAGAGTTGGGAGGGGCAGTGTGTCAGTTTGTGTAGTCTGTGCTGGTGTGTAGGTGACGCCCAGGAACAAGACTAAATAAATATAAAGTAGTCGTACTAATCCATCCTTGAGAAACTTCAGAACTATTACTTTTGGGTCTGAGTGTGTAAAACAAAGAGACAGACAGACAGAGAAAGGGAATGAGAGGGAAGGTATAAGAGGTGAAAGACAGAGAAGGGGGATAGAGTAGTGATCTTGTGTAAAGGAGTTGCACAGGATAACAGGCTTAGCTCAGAGTGGAGAACACAAAAGGGCTTAAGGCTGATTGCGGGCTGTGACAAGGAAAGGGGGAAAGAGATCAAGCCTTCCAGGCAGAACTATGTAAGCCAAAGGTCCAAAAAAGACCCTCTGACAGCTCAAGTCACATAGCAGCTTAAGGGAAAGTGTCAATAGCAGAAATGGGCAATAAATGAATTCCAAGGCAGTGTCGGTATCTTCCTCACAGGGTATAAAATGTCAGCATCGTCCACATTTGAATAGACCGACCAAAATTGCAGCATGATATTTCTAAATGTCATGAAGAATGTAGGCATCTTTGTGATTGTATTCAGGGTAAAGAGGGCATTTCGCTCTCATATTTCCACTGAGCATTATGCAATATACTGAGCATTCGGTATGCTAATTTTTAATTGCATTTTCATAGCACGTTCAACAACTTCTTCAGCCTCGCCCAGCCAATTCTCTGTGAGTCGCCTCCCACTGTCCACCTCTTCCATCCCTCATCCGGAGACATGATTTGGTAGATTAATACTCAAATAGGTAGACTTCAATGCAGAGCTATTCGTCAAAGCTACCTGCCAGAACAAACCCCTAACCCCACTACTCAAATCCCCCCTCATTCATCTCCCCCTGTCTCTCCCTCTCAAAGTCGCCTTTCCCTTGTCTCGCCCCTCTTCTCTCACTTTCACCTCAGGTTTAGTTAATAATCAATTATGTGATTATTCCAATGAGGTGATTAATTACTGGCTCTCTCTTCTTCTGTACCACAGGTTAGCGTGCTTATAATCACACAGTGACAGCCAGGGGACAGCTGAGTTGAGTGATGCTGTCTTGAGACCTGGTGTGACCCCATATGACTCGGCTGGGTTTGTTGCTGGCTCATCCTGACTGATGGAACTTTAACAGAGAGCAGAGACACACCACAACATCACAGTTTCTACAAATAACACCCCCCCACAAGCTACTGACAGCCTGACACCACAATATCTTCCATGTCCAGCTATCCAAATATTAATTTTACTGGATAGTCTAGTCTTGGGACCGCATTAATTCGTTCCAAGTCTTGCATTGAAACTCTCCCTGAGGCACAGCAAACTTATTTTGGTTTTGGACTGGTTCCATTCATCTCTTCTGTTCTGGTGAGTTAGACAATATGGAGAACAACTTAAGCTATAGCAAGTGAGTGTCCATTTTAAGAGCCTTTTTAAAAAAATTAAAAATAAAACTAATCTTATTACAACAACAAGATAGGCCACATAGAGGTCAATAGCATGCAGAGATTAAAGATGAAGATGCAGAGCGAACACATAGTGTAATTGTACTGGAGTTTACAGCACAGCCCTCTGAAAAACGAGACCTGCATTTGAGCAGACAATCCAGATGGATGTTGATCCACTCGCAGTAAACCAAATGAAATTAAACTGTAAGCCGGATTCAGGAGCTCTAGAGTAGAGTGGGGAATCAAGACTTGTGTCTTTAATCAAAATAACAATGCTCTTTAATTCTGTGTTAATTAAATGTAGATTTCCCTGATTGAGGAGCAGTCCCCTTGATGCCAGGGGACCTCCAG